CTCATACGTCCAGTTCGTCAGAAAAAATTTTCGAACGAAAAAGTTTAAAAAAATCGCTTAAAAATATTTTTTCATGCAAGAGTGCAAAACCACAACTCTTCTCCAACGATGAAGCAGTAGATGAAGAGGTAGGGGTTGGGAGTGAATGAAAGCTCATAGCTGATAAGGAAATTCTAGTCATTCTTATCAGCTCTGTATAGATAACAAAGAAAATAAAGGGGAATCCCACAACTCTTCTCCAACAATGAAGCAGTAGATGAAGAGGTAGGGGTGAGGAGTGAATGAAAGCTCATAGCTGATAAGGAAATTCCAGTCAATCTTATCAGCTCTGTATAGTTAACAAAGAATATGAAGGGGAACCCCTCAGGAGGAGGAATTCTTCTACTACTTTGTTTTTCCTCCTTGTGAAGAAAGAAAACTGGTTCTTTCTTAACCTTGAAGTTTAGGAGGCGGGGCCAAGTTCTTTCATCCCCCAACAAGAAAAGGATTAGTATCAGCTGGTACAGTCTAGTCTAGAAGCATCTGTTTCAGCGACAGGTTGAAATTCAGCTCACGTTTTAAGCCTATATTTTTTGTTTTAATTGCTAATATTATGTTATCTAAACGATCGATTACCGAGAAAAATGACGAAAGTTTGATTTTTAATGTCTTTTATTGATTATTTAAAGACTACGTTTATGTTAAAATTGACGTCGATGGTCTACACACGCGCGTTTAATCGCGAAATCGACCTGGCAACTTCGAAAGTTCGATAATTCTATCAATTTAAGTAAGGTATCTAAAATCCGGAAATTTCGGAAATCCGGACCTTCCAAACCCCCCAGCAGTCCGGATTTTCGAGGTTGCACTGTATAAGTGAATATAATTAAGTATCAATATGAGCATAGCAAATATTGCGGGATGCCGTAAATGTGTGTTGCGCGAGTGCTACTGATGTCTAGGTGGGCAAAGTTGGAGGGTATGCATACATAGCATGCATCTCTGTAATATCTAACTGTATCTGGCTGGGAGCTTATTCTGTTTTGATCGCTTGTCAGTGTTTATATGAAATTATCGGGGAGGGCTTATTCAGTATTTTATGGTATATTAACTTGTTAAAGGTTTTTACTCTATGACAGGGTGGGGTTTTTGACCTGACAGGCTGTTTTAAACTGTCGAAAACTTGGAAAAACCTGGGATGATAGACATAATGCATGCAAAAATTTTTAGGTATATTCAACCTATTAGTTTAAAATACTGATAGGGGAGTGTCGGGTACCCCCACCCACTGTCAATTTCATGTGTATAGAATATTTTTTCAAATCAATGAGCCATCGGGCATTAATTGTTATATTAAAGAAAGATTATTTTCAAAGTTTCAAGTATCTATGCAGCTGGTAACATGGTAAACAATAGTTTTGAAAATATGTTGACTACAGTAGTCATGAAATTAAGAAAAATTGGTTGAATGTTTCGATTAACCTTCATATTAATACTAAAAAAACAATTTTTTCTATACATGCAGCATTAAAGTATGTAGTCTTAAGTTTAATTTGCACAAAGAAAGAAGTTTGTATGTGAAAAATTGTTAGAGTAATTACAAATGTATAAAAAAAATTGGATTCCGGGTAGCCCCACTCACATGAATGTCGGGTATCACCGCCCAATTTTATTTCGTCGATAAATGTACGGTTGCAAAGATTATTATTTTATTGCTTCAAATTTGAATGTTATATGCATTTTTAACAACAAATATTGTTGTTATTAAATGATAGAATTCACTAAAACTATATAAATATGCAATAAATAAAATAATTTTGTGATAAAAATGATAAATGAGGTTTATCTATTGTCAATACATTGGTCATTTTCATTTACACCTGAAAAAACAGT